CCATCCACCCATCCATCCATCTATCCACCTATCCATCCATCTATCCACCTATCCTCTGTCTCTCTCTTTCGATACATACAAACAAGTAAACATTGAAAAGAATCACCTGCAACGGGCTTGCATATTGTAAAAGTCACATGGTTGCTCTGCTGACTTGCAAGTCAGTTCTCTGGACCCGAGCGGGTGACCTGTTGGAGAGGCGCCTGCCATGGATTGGCCCCTGCAGGAGATTCCGCAGGAGGCTGAAGCAGACCTCTCGGAAGGGCTGGGCCAGGCTATGCCTTTCCAGGTTGGGCTTCCCCAGACTGCAGAAGGAGAGCCAGGGAACCCCACCCTCCCAGGCAGGTGGGACCACTTCTCACTGTGGATCCAGGGTGTCTTTGGTGGCTTCCCTGCCAGCTTTTGCTAGGGGGTGGGGGTCCTGTGCTGGCCCCAGACCCTTTGTGAGTCACGGAACCCCAGATCACGTTGCCTGTTCCGTGTGCTGCCAGCCAGACGCACCCAGCGTGTGCCTGTGCTGGAAGGAAGTCCCTGGAGAGGGAACAGGAGCCGGGCGAGACCCGTGCGCACGCCAGGCGGCCGCGGACATCTGCACGAGGGGTTTCCTTGTGACCTCGCAATGGTGACGTCAGATTGTGTGCTGTAGATTTTCTGAGCTCCCCCCAAGCAGCGATGAGAGTTCGTGTGCTCTGAGCACGCAGCGTGGGGGTGGGGCTGCCAGGGCTCGCACTGCCACTTACAGGCTCGACTTGTCCCAGGGGCCCACAGAGTGACCGTCTCCCCCGCCTCCTCTCCCGTCTCCTGCAGGCCATGGATTTGGAAGTCCCGGTGCTGGCCAGGAACATCCCCGGGAACGCCGCCATGGTGAAGCACGGCGTGACGGGGCTGCTGTTTTCGGACCCTCAGGTAAGGAGCGCCGAGCTCCGCCGTGCACCCTGTCTGAATGGCGTCACCGTGTCTGTCGAGTTCCATCTTCTGTCCTGTCGATCACGGCTGTGTCCGTGACCACGGGAACGGCTGTGTCCGTGACCACGGGGACGGCTGCTGGGCTGTGTGACCACGTGACACCTAGCGGGTGTCAGAGGAGGTAGTCCCGCCGCGGGCGTGAGCAGGGCTCTGATTTCTGGGCGCGGGTGCTCCTCAGGTGCCAATTTGTAACTGGACATCCGCTGGCCTTCAGCGTGGCGATCTCACTGGGACCACCGTGGGTCTCCCCAGCTGGAGGTGCAGAAAGGCTGGGCACCTGTGCAGGAGCACCCAGATGCGCCGGTGGGTGCTGGGTCTGGGGTCGGCCTGTGTCTGAAGCCCTGGGTCCCCTGTGCAGGGCGAGCCACCCTGCTGAGCTGCCTGCGTTTCTCAGCCCTGCTTTCCCCGCTGGACGGGGGAGCTGACGGGAGCTCCCGCCTCTGAGCCGCGCGGGGCTCTGGGAGTGGCTGTGTAGCACCTGCAGCGTGTGAGGCTCACGGTCAGGGCTCCGAGGCTTCCTGGTGTTTTGGGAGGGGAAGGCGTGGATGCTGCCTGTGATGTTGGTAGGTGGCAACAAACACAGATCGTAGCTTTTCGCTTTTTTAAGGATTTATTTATTTGAGAGGCAAAATTACAGACAAAGGCGGGGAGAGAGAGAGAGAGAGGTCTTCCATCTGCTGGTTCACTCCCCAAATGTCCACAATGGCCAGGGCCGAGCTGATCCGAGGCCAGGAGCCAGGAGCTTCTTCCAGGTCTCCCACGTGGGTGCAGGGACGCAAGCACTTGGGTCATCCTGCGCTGCTTTCCGAGGTGCGTTAGCAAGGAGCTGGATCAGAAGTGGATCAGCCGGGATATGAACCGGTGCCCATATGGGATGCCAGCACCGCAGGTGGAGGCTTAGCCCACTGCGCCACAGCACCGGCCCCACAGATCTCGGCTGGAAAAGTCAGGTTCTGAGGTGGGCACCGTGGTGCACCAGGTTAGGGCGCCACGTGGGACACCCCTGCCCCACATCAGAGTGCTTGGGACTGAGTCCAACTTCCGCTTCCCAGCCCGCCTCCTGCTGATGCGCACCCCAGAGGCAGCAGGGAGACCCAGATGGAGCTCCAGGCTCCTGGCTCTCGCCTGGCCCAGCCTCGAAGGCTGAGGGCATTTGGGCAGTGAACCAGTGGCACTCTGCCTTCCAAATAAATAAATAGAACTTAAAATCAGCCTCCACTCACAACCACCTTTATTAAGGAACATGGTGCATTGAGGAGTGTAGAAAGAGGTTACTGTAACTCAGAATACTTGAACATTTTCAGTTTAAAAATTTTCTAGTAGATCTCTCTCCTCCTCTCCTCCTCTTCCTCCTCCTTCCCCCTCCCCCCCCATCTCTGTCTTTCAAGTAAATACGCTCTTAAACTCCCGTCGTGGACGTCAAGTTGAAGGTCTGGTGTCAGCAGCACCGGTGGACGCCTGGGCAGCCTGGCTGGCCGAGGGCGGCCGAGTCGGGCTCTGATGCAGTTCCGGTGCCTCTGCTTCCTGCCGTGGTTCCTGGCAGCCCAGCCGCCAGGGTGTGACGAGCTCTCTGTGCCCTGAGCCGAGGCCTTTGCTCCCAATGATGGCTTTGCGGCTTTGTACTGTGTTCCGAGTCTCTGGGGAGCGAGCACAGCCGTGCTTGAGGTCGGAGAATGTCGTGTGCTCCTGGCAGAGTGACTGCCTCCTTCCTCGCCGTGCCCCGGAGTGCAGCATGCGTGCACCTTGTAGCTCGGTGCCAGGGCACTCGGACGTCTGAGCCAAGGATGCATTGGGCAGGACCGGGGATGGATGTGGGTCAGCCACGCTGATGGCAGGGAGCTGCACCTGTTCCTTCCGGTGTTGGGAGCCGCCCCCCTGTCTCGGACGTGCTCACGCCATCTCTGCTGCTGCCTGGCTTCTTGTGAGCCCTGACGTCCAGCACGGTCCTCGCGTCCTGGTGTCCTGGGCAGAGGCTGCGCTTGCTCTTACCCCAAAAGCCTGGGGCAGCCCGGATGAGGCGCAGCCCCACTCTGCTCTCGTCAGCCTCATGTGGGGCGATGCCTGCTGCTTTAAAATCAAGCGGGCACTTTCCGTATGTAAGGGACGATGGCTGTATCGATCCTGACCGAGAAACCCAGGGGACACAAGCCCCGGCGGCTGCCAGAGCTGTCAAGATTACTTCTCCCCGAGCCCGTGTCGTGGTCTAGCTGCTTCAGCCACTGCCTGCAACACTGGCAGCCCATATGGGCACCAGTCTGTGTCCCAGCGCTCCACTCCAATCCAGCTCCCTGCTACGGCCTGGGAGAGCAGTGGAAGATGGCCAAGTCCCTGGGCCCCTGCACCCACCTGGGAGACCTGGCGGAAGCTTCTGGCTCCTGGCTTTGGCCTGATCCAGCTCTGGCCATTGTGGCCACTTGGGGAGTGAATCAGCAAATAGATTTCTCTCTCTCTCTCTCTGTAATCTGCCTTTCAAATAAAAAAATAAACATTTTTAAAAATTACTTCTGCATTTGCCATCAAACAGGCATTGGAGTGGCTTTTCCCTTCCTGGGGAGGAGTGTGCACACCAGGGCCCGGCCCGCACAGCCGCATGCACACAGGTGGGCGCCTGGCGTTAGCAGCTCTGCTCCAGCTGCTGTTCCCAGCAGGGGCTATAAAGAGGCATGGCACAACAACACCGTGGCACAGCGCTCCGAGGTCATCAGTTGCCCAGCGCAGGAGGTCGCACGTTCAGTGCCCCGTATGCATGAAGGGCAGAGTTGGCTGTCGCATGTCACCCCATGGCCTCTTTGTTTTCTGCACTTTTTTTTAAAGTTCTTTTCCTTAAGATTTATTTACTTATTTGAAAGGCAGAGTTACAGAGAAGCAGAGGTGGAGAGAGAGAGAGAGAGAGAGAGAGAGAGAGAGAGAGAGAGAGAGAAGTCTTCCATCTGTTGGTTCACTCCCCAGAGGGCTGCAACAGCCAGAGCTGCCCTGATCTGAAGCCAGGAGCCAGGAGCCAGGAGCTTCTTCCTGGTCTCCCATGCAGGTGCGGGGGCCCAAGGACTTGGGCCATCTTCTACTGCTTTCCCAGGCCACAGCAAAGAGCTGGATCAGAAGAGGAGCAGCCAGGACTTGAACCAGCACCCATATGGGATGCTAGCGCTGCAGGCAGTGGCTTTACCCACTTCACCAGAGTGCCGTGCTCAGTTTTTTGCACCTTTTATAAAACTGCTCGGATCCGGGTTCCCTGGAGACGTGGAGCCAACAGGCCCGCAGCAAGGAGCCGCACTGCAGCCTGGGCTCCAGCAGCCGCTCCGTCCACCTTCTGCCGGCTGGAGGCCCAAGGAGGCCAGGAGTTGGTTCAGTCCAGGACCAAAGGCTCCAGCAGCCTTGGGCAGGGGACGGTGAGACTTGCTGAGGGGGTCTCCTGTGCTGGGTCCCCTGAGCCTAGCACCGGGATCTCTCAGAAACGCCTTCACAGATGCACAGGAATAAAGGTTACCAGCCTTTGGCGTCCGCACAGCCGGCCACCACAACAGGCGGAACCAGCCACTCGGAGGAAGCTGGCAGAGGGAGCAGAAACGAAAGCCCAGTGTGTGCCCAGCTTGGGCGTGTCAGGCAGTGTCTGCGGTCACCAGGGTCCCGGCCCCGCCTGCCCATCCCGGCCGTGTGTGCAGGCCAAGTACGTGGTGCCTTTGAGGGTGGGGTGGGCTGCATGTGTGTGGGGGTGCCATGGGGCCATTGTGTGTCTTGGCCTCTGGGCTCTCGGGGCAGGGTTTGTGTGCCAGCACGGTGGTCCCTAGACACCTCTGTACCCACCCACATCTCACCTGAGAAAGGGAGAGATCCCGGCCAGCAGGGGCCAGGGCTTCGGGGAGGGCAGGTGACAAAGTGCGGTGGGGACAGAGAGCAGGAAGCCTGGCCTGGGTGGTTCCAGGAGGTGGGAGACCTCAATGGAGACCCACGGCCCCCACCCCAATGAGGTGGCTTCAGGGAAGGCCATGGAGTTGAATACAGGAGTCTCTCTCTCTCTTTTTTTTTTTAAAAAGAGATTTATTTATTTATTTGAGAAGCAGAGAGAGAGAGGGTCTTCCATCTGCTGGTTCACTCCCCAGATGGTCACTACAGCTGGAGCTGTGCAATCCAAAGCCAGGAGCCAGGAGCTTCTTCTGGGTCTCCCACGTGGGTGCAGGGTCCCAAGGACTTGGCCATCTTCTGCTGCTTTCCCAGGCCACAGCAGAGAGCTGGATTGGAAGTGGAGCAGCCAGGACTCGAACCGGCATCCATATGGGATGCTGGACCTGAAGGCCCTGGCTGTAGCACACTACACCACAGGGCCGGGCCCTCATTTTAAATTTTTTTTTTTTTAAACAACAACAGAAAGGGATCGTTGACCGTGTTCAGTGGCGGGGGGTGGTAGTGGTGGTGGTGCAGAGGAGTCTCTGTTTCCGGTCCCTGCACCCTGGAAGACTTGTGCTGGGCTGAGCTTTGCAAGGCTCCGGCTGTGGGTTCTGTTTCTACAGCAATCCTGGTATTCCTCTTTTTAAGAAGAAAAGAGCGGAGCTGTTTTTGTAGGAATTTTAGAGCCTTGAAATTTAAACCCATTTGACATGTAATAGAAACCGTGAATGCGAATTCTCGCAGGTGGAGCCTGCACTGGGGTCCTGGCTCGTTTTGCCGGGAGGCTCTGTCTGTGCTCCAGCAGCGGGAGAGCACTCGGCGCGCGCTGGCGATGCGTGTAGCTGGGGCACGCGTGTTCCCGCCTCCGTCCTCTGAGTTCTGCCTCATTTTCATCTCCTTAATTCCTTTCTCTTTGAGTGGTCACGGCTTTCACAGTCAGCTGGTGGGTTCAGGCTTGCAAAAAAGAGGTGCGCTGGGAAAATTGCCGCCTCCGCACTTTTGGGGAGCAGGGCTTAGATCTAGAATTTTCTGCCGGACTCTGAGCAGCCTTGCATGCA